TATTTTTAATCAGTTTGAGGGATGCAATCAGAGAGTTCAACTCTAAGAGAAAGTGAGTAATGTTAGGAATCGAGTTTGCACATTTTTGTTTGTGAATGAAAAATGTTGCATATATGATAATAAAATTAAGCATATGTTCAAAGTCACGATGTTCAGAGTTATTGTAATAGCAGATAACATCTTTGAGAGTTAGTGTGCATACAATTTTAGTTGAATGGGGAAAAAAAAGATTCAATGTCACTCCAAAATTTTTGGAAAAAAAAGTTGTATCATCAGCGAAAATAGAAATGCCCTCAAATTTCTTATCATTAACTATGTGAATTGACAATAATTCAACAACTAAAATAAATAAAAAGGGTTAAATGGGGCAGCCTTGACGAACACCTCTGTTAATTTGGAATCTTTTAGATGTATTCATATTAGCTGCGCCTCTGGTCTGACTGCGCCCATCGCTGCTCTATGACGTCACCGCGTCAGCGGCAGAAAATGCGTGCGTTGGAACTGGGGACGGAACTGCTGAAGGGTGGCCAAATAAACACCGGAGATGAAGGAATGAATAGATTTTACCGTTTGAAGCTGCATCAGTAACCCCCCCCCCCTCCATAGTGAATGTTATCTGAGCATCCTGGGAGAACAGCCTCTGTTAGCTGCTGCTAGCTAGCCATAGCTGCTGGGCTTTAGGAGAAACAACATGGCTGCTGCGGAGCTCGAATGGATCCCAGAGAGCCTCTACAACACCGCTATCTCCGCGGTGGTGGACAACTACAGCCGCTCCAGGAGGGACATCCGCTCACTGCCGGAGAACATCCAGTTCGATGTTTACTACAAGGTGAGCTGCAGCAGCCATGGGCTGCTAGCATTAGCTTAGCACACAGGAATAACATTACCTGAACCATTTAAACATGGCCGACATCTACAATATAACACTTTAACGACAATCAGGAGGGATTATCTTATAGAAGAAGTGAGTTATTATTGCTGTGGATACAGGCCTCAGTACTGGAGATAGAACAGGATGATGGAAAGGGTTAAACTAGCCTGCTACAGGCAGGGAGTCCCTGACAGCTGGGGGGGTTCTAACACCTGGATTACCAGGTGGTGTCTGTCTCTGTGTGTATGTGTGGGGGGGGCTTCTGGTGTGGTTCA